CAATAGAAGGCATTAATGTTTTATTCACAATTGAGATAATAATATATTTAGTTGGTACCAATTTATCTAGTGGTTCAAGTTTACCCCTTAGGTTCAAGGCCGTCCTAAAATTTAGAAATCTTAAACAATTTATGAATGATTTCAACTAAATTTATTTTAACGAATTTAGGATCCTAAAGAAAATATTAAAAATTATATCTATATAATTTTCTTAAAAGAATTAGGAGTTTAATGTGATATTTTATCCGATTTGGCACAAAACCATCTCTGCTAATATCCTTCTCAAGAGAATTATTGAAAAGTACTAATTGTTACAATCTTAAAATGAATGACTTGTGTGGCTGTTTTGAGACCTAAACTTGTAAGAGTCCATTTGAGAGATAAACGCAACTCCATGAATAAAAGTAATGATGAAACTATGCTACTATATTATAAGGCTATCTTCAACGATTTCAAAATATTAAATTTGGTGTAATTTTATTTGCAATGAAGCATTGTAATATTATTATCTCACTAAATTTGATATAGTATGAATAGTATTATATTAAATTAATATAAAATTATTTTATCACATCAATATAAAGTAATGTATTTTATTAATTTTATTTAATTATAAGTAGATTAATTTTATTAATTTTTTTAACTTATAGTTATATGAAAAATCTTATATATTATTTGTATTTTCACATTACACTATTATTATATTTGTGTTTTTAATTAATAAAATTATTAATATACTGAAATGAGTATTAGTAATTACATTAATTGTAACAGAATAAAAATGCTTTTCATTTTTAAATGTATAAAATTTTAAATTTTGACTAATATTTTAAATAAAAGAAATAAATATAAAATTAACTAAAAAAATAACATATTATATTAAACATAAATTCAATTACCAAATTTTGAAAAATAAATATAATTAATAAATTACATAATTAATGTAATAAATTATCAAAATTAAAAGTTAATAATAGAAATATTATTTTGGTGATTTGGTGTGATGGTTACAGATGGAAATAAAGTTTAACACCAAAACATCATATTTGATATCATTTTAACATTAAATTTAGTGTCATTGTTGGAAATGCCTTTACCACCTTTAGTTTCTTAAAAATAATTGTTACCACCCTTTACCTATTCATATTGTGTTTCTGGGCACTTAAATTTTATTTTGTTTTATAAATATTTTATTCTTCTAATTAATTTCAATGTGTGTACTGCAAATGTAAAGGAATGGAAATATTTTCATATTTGTATAATTGTGTCGGTGTCGTATTTTTGGAGTTATGTAAAGATGTCTGTGTACTATTGGGTTTGTGACACATTATGATTAAAAAAAAATCTTAAAAATGGTATACACCTTAATTATTTTCTATTTTATGAACATTCTAAAATATCATTTAGGTTTTCTTCCTTTTTAACGCTCTATAAACATTTTATTGGTCATTTCTACGTAGTACATATAATTTTAATAACCAAGTATTAAAATCAAAGTATAAAATTGAATTATCTCTTAAACTAAAAATTTAAGTACAATTAATGTTGGCGTTCCAAAAAATGGTGCAATTAATATTATTAAAAACTAACTAATCCTAACTTTCGTCATTAATTTAATTTCGTTATATAGTCATTTTTAACCACCACTAAATAGTGACTTTATATATCTTAACAAAACAAATTCCTAAAAGTATACAATCAATTAAAGTTATATATGATCAGCGTTAATGATTATTTCAGTTGATAATATATTTAAATAATCATCATTAAACTAAACAATTAATTAATTTTACCAATATTTAATTGTATATACATAAATTAATATGAATAATAAAATATAAAATAATTTTAAACTTCACATAAATATTAATATATATATATATCAATTTTGTCTGTCCAGAAATAAGTTGTCCATTTATATTCTATATAATGACTATTTTTAATTTTGGGGTATCTTAATGTTCATCATTAGTATAAAATTGACAGAAAATAAATTAAATTTCAAATAATTATTTACTTATTGTATTACTAATATGAGCTAAAAATACATTCAATATTGTGTACAAATAGTATCTAACTAGGATAAGACCTGCGCCTTGCGCAGGGTGAATATATGTAATTAAAATATAAAATTTTAATATTGACAAATTTAAAATTTACATATGATTGTTTTTATATGTATTTGAAATTTTAGAATTTTGGAATTTTGATATAATTATCTATATGTATGATCATAAACGATTCTAGTTAGAAGTGTAGATCAAAACCTAGAATTTAATGGGGACTTCATATATCTTTTCACTTTTCAGTGTTCGAGTGATGGAAAATAAACGGAGTGTCACTGGGCTTGATTGGTAGAGTATTAGCAAGTTATCTAATGATTTCTTAAGAAGCAGTTGGTAAAATATTTTCAGTTAAAATATATAAGTTTCAAAACTAATTTAATAAATTTATTTATTTGTCTATTAATATTAGAAAATTATATTTTTAAAATTTAAAAAATAATAATAATTTATAAAAAATTAAGTTAAATTTTAATTTATTTTTAAAAACAATATTTGAGTTTTTCAAATACAAATAAAAAATTTAAAATTAGCTATCGTCATGATTTAGCATAACCATATGATTTAAAAAATTTAAAAATTAACAAATTAAACATTAACTCAGTTTTATATCATGATATAACAATCTAAAAACTAATTATGGTTATGAGAAGTTTACGTTCACGTGTAAATCCTATTTATCTTCAATTTTTTCTCTTGTTGTGTTTTTTTTTTATTTTGGTTATTACTCGATATAAATACTTATTTTGAAGTTTATTCTTATTTTGTTTGTTTGTTTTGACCTCGGATTTAGAAAATACTTAAGACTTAAAATAATTAAAGAGATACATACTTAGGTTAAGATCTGCACTTTATGCAAAATAAATATTTTATAGTTATTTTATATTTTTCTGCATATTATAAAATAATAAAATAATAAATATATATATTAAATAACTAAGAAATCAGTTACTCTCATGTAATAAATTGGCGTATGCATATAAATTAAACTATAGCTCTTGTTTATTCGCAATTAGGGTAAATAAATCAAAATAATCAATCTTATATACTGTATATGATATATAATTAAGTTAAAATGATATAAACATATTAATATAGCACACTTTTAATATGGATATTTATTAAATGAGGTTTCTACTCATATTATTTTATGATTATTTGCATATTTGTGTAACAAAACTTTACACCAACGATTTTTTTTAATTTGAGATGTTTAGTAGTTTCAATAATTTATAATCATTATAAAAAAAATTGAAATATTTAAAAATTAAAATATTAAATTTTCAATATATGTTCAATGCAAATATCAAAAAATAAGTATGTATTTTCATACGATGAATAGTTTAATTAAAACGATATGAAGTATATATAAATTAAAATTATTTCTTCATATGGTCATCATTTTATTTTAATATAGAAAAAAAAATTAAAACCTTGATCCTAAAATTTTATGTGAGACTTTTAACAGTTTTAGTAATTTATACTCATTTTAAAAAAAAATTGAAATACAACATACACAAAAAGAAATCTAGATTTTTATTATATGATTAATGTAATTGTGTAATTTATTTTAATAATAAAGAAATAAACAAAATGAGAAAAAGTATACATATTGTTATCAAATCTTTATTGTTTAAAGTCATTAATTGTCATATATATATTTTAATCATATTAGGTAATTCCGTAGGTTTTATTTAAGGAAAGCATGCGAAACAATAAATATTTGATATATGCGACCAACTATAGCCTAGGAAATATTATATTGCTAGAGAGTATGTATTTTAGACTATACATTATATCACATGCTCTAGAATCTTTGGAATTTGAAATAGAAGCCAAAGAGCTATGCCACATTATTTTTAATTATTACAAACTTAAGGTTACAACTTTTTAAATGATTCTCAAATAATATACAGGGGACAAGAAACAAGACAACATTCAATACAAATAATAATTGAACGCTAAGTTTAAACAAAGACGGCGGATGTGTGGTTTCAAAATCTACTTAACTATTATAACATGTGTATTTTCGGCAAAATGCTATAACATGTGTGTTAAAGTTCAATTTATTAGCTTCGTTTCGTAGCATCACAATCATGGACATATTATCAAATGACCTATCCCTTTATTTAAAAACTAGTAATGAGTCCATAGTTGCTTTGAGTTAGGCATGTCTCAACGAAAATGACTGTTCTAGTTCAATGTTTCTATCGTATTTATTTTTCATGACTCAATTCTTTTTTCCCCCAAAATCCCCCAACCACAAATTCTAACTCATACTGCCTAAAAAATCAAATCCAAAGCAAAACCTAAACATAGCCGGATCTAGGCGTAGACTAGTGAAATATTAGCCGTGGCTCCTAAAATTTTGGGAGGCTTTTTGTATAGGTGTAAACCAATAAAATTTATTAAAGAGTTCTTAATAAATACTTCGAATCCCTTCTCCCCCCCCCCCCCCTTTCTAAAATCTCAGATGTGGCCTTAAACCTAAACATATTAGTATGAAATTTTTGATGGAGTTCTTGTATGTAGCTAGGTCTATAAGGTTGAACAGCATGGCCACAAGATTTTGAGATGATTCTACGTCGGCCAAGTTTTACTTAAAACTTATGAAAATATGTATCACGAAAACAATGTGCATGACTTAAACAATCTTTCTTTGTGATCTTCCAGTCGGGGGCCACCGAGAAACGATCCAGTAGGTGACAGATAATGCAAAATGTGTTACATACAATGCATATAGTGAGATAAAGCTGCTAAATTCTGCACTATAACAAAAGAGACGACAGCCACCAAAATGATCGATATGGACTGATCATTCTGAAAAGTCTTTTTGGGTTTTCAACTTTTAATCTTATGTACAGACTCAGATTTAAAATTTTTATACAATAATGGCCTTTCATTCTCAGCTTCTTACATGATTAAAGTTATGCTAAAGTTGGAACGAAAGTTAAAAGAGCTTTTACAGAGAATAAAAAATTCATTTATTTTTCTTAAAAAGTTATGTAGACATGAGATGATTATTATGTTCTACGTATCTTCCCTAAAAGAGCTTATACACATATCGCTTCTTTAATCTCATAGTTGAGTGTCTTTTAAAGACATGGGAAGATATTTCAGATCAGATCAAATGCCTATCTGAACAAAACCAATGATTATCTCTTATATAACAAAAACCACATGTACAATTAAAACCTCTGAGACCTTCTGGCTCAAAACAGAAGTTTCTACAAGATTTCAAGCCCTCATCTTCTGCTGCTTACTGCATCCAACTGCAAAAACAGATGAAAGCTTTCCCAGTTATGCTTATGACTCTATAAATCATCTTAACATTAAAACTTTAAATCATAAGAACATAAAAGCTTACATCTCAAGGCAGATGAAATCTCAGAGCTTTTAATCACTCGCAGTCTCTTCACAGATGAAACGAACATTCTATGTTTAGAACACAGACATAAGATTAGTCAGTATACATTGTTTTCATAAAGAATAATCAATTTGAGAAAAAAACTATAACAAAAAAAAAGCAATAATTTATACTTTTTTATAGTTATGTGATATTAAGAATATGGTTCTGCAAAACACTGAATAATATTCAGAGAAGAAAAGGTAGAAATGATTCTTACTGCCAAGGAACATCCCCAACAAGCATCTTGTCCCCTTCATTGTCTTCATAAGTTAAAGTAAATTCTCCTTTCCCATCAAGTAAACCAATGATCGGTTTCTCTTCTCCTTCACCACCAGAGGTATCTCTTTGAGCTACAGCAAACAACATAAACAAAAACACACTCAATAAAACAAGAATTGTTCTCTAAATAACAGAAAAAAATATTTGAAAATCAAGATTTAACCTGCGAGTAGACCTCTGAAGAGTTTGTCAACGGCAAAAGAGAGGTGTTCGTAGCTATTATAAGCATTGAGATCGACTTTTCGACCAATTGGAACACTATCCATGTTTATCTTTACAAACATTCCTTCCCTCTTACTAGGTTGGACTTGCTTTTCACAATCACCACTCTTGTTGACTTGACCACCAAGGGAGGATTCATTTCCGAGCTTTGAAGAGATTGTGTTGGCTAGGTTTTTTCTGAAGGAACGAACCGGAGGCCAACCCACCACTGGACCAGGAGCAGTTCTTTGTACCATACAGTAAAAGTAAATATGTTAATACAAAACGCAAAAAAAACAGAGCAAATCAAAGGTGATGGGTCCGTAATGTCTAGAGAATATCCTTTGTCAAAGTAAGATACCTTTTGAGAGAGATGTGAGGATTATAAGTGGTATTTTTGGGAGGAGAGAAATGGTTTCCGCTGAGATTGAAGAGAGATTTGTCTTCTGCTTCCTTCTTGGTGTTGTTTCTTGTCTCTATCTTCTTCTTTGTCATCGCAGAAGTAGCTTCTTCATCACCACCAGGTGGTGCAAGCCTTAGCTCAAGTTTGTTTTCTTGATCTGTGTTGTTCTTCTCTTCTTGATACCATTTTCTTCCTTGAGGAATCAGATCAAGAAGCTTAGGACATGTTTCTTTGTTTCTTGGACAACCCTCCATTGATTTTCTTGGTTACAACGCAAGAAGAGTCCAAACTTGGAATAAAAAAACTGGTAATTCGACAAAAAAAGATCAAAACTTACTATAGCTTCCTCACAAGAGGAGAGGTATGACAGAGATTTACAAAACCCTAATAAACCAAGAAACCTAAGAACCCCTTAAGAAAGAAACAATCACCAAAAAACTGAGGGCGAGAGAGAGAGAGAGAGATGTGATGAAGGTATGGTAAGACAAGTGGTGAGTTTTATACAAATCAAAGAAGCTTTGTTCTTTTTTATTTACTTGGCTGCTTTTCCTCTCTCTCGTGCACGCTTTGGTAGGTTCTCTCTCTCAAGATTCTGAAAGGGACGAGAAGAGAAAAAAATTAAGAATACAGAGAAAAGAAAATTTGGATTTGTATGAAGAAGAGCATATTATTAAACAAAAAGCCAGTAAAGGAGAAAGCAGACAGTGACTCCAGAGTTAAAAAAAAAAAAAAACATAAACAATTGCATGTTATTGTTATGTTACATACAGAGAAACCGGTAACTTTTCTTGGCATGAAAGAAACACAGTTAAAAAGGATTTTACGATACTTTTGGTGTAAACCACACGCAACCTTTTTAAATTTTTTTTGCTGCCTCAAATATCGGTAATTGAGGGTTTGTCACTTTGTCTACTGAATGAAGCAAAGCGTGGCTTTCAGTTTATAATAAGTTGTTGTATTACGAATTAAAGAAATTACTATAAATGCATAAATCCAGTAAACAACTTGACCCCAAAAAGGCAAAAAATATAAAACAAGTTTTTATGGGGTGAATAAGAACAACTAAAATATGATTTTTTTAAAAAAGATCCCATAATTTAAGGACCATATCCACTGTCCATGAGATACATATCCCCATGCTTTTAAACACACATTTTAAATGGTCGTAATGGTAGTATGAAACTTTAATACTAAGTCATTATAATATCTACAGATTTCTTGTTTTTCTGTTCATCCATAATAAATGAACCGAATGGGAAGATTAACTACGAGGATTCAAAAGAATGGGAGTACATACGAATCTCGTCTCATGAAATTGTTTATTTAACTTGACACACAACAAGAAAACAAACAATGTCAATTTGTTAGGTAGCTTAATCAATGATTTTGTCAAAAGTTAAGAACAATGCGTACGTGTGGATTGCGATGGTATTTAATATCTTTGCCCAAACAAGTAAATAGTCAATCGTTTGTTTCCTTATCCTTAGTTATTTTCTCAATACATATAAATAAGATCATAGTAAATCATAGAACTGACATATTTAAACATAACAAAAGTTTACATTTATTTGGTTTTTTTGTTCAGGAAAGGAAACGGAATGTGCATGTCTCTCCCACGTGAGACAGCGATATATTACGGAAGAAAAAATGAGGGCGAAGAGTTCCGGTCAAGTAAGGAAAGGAATTTTGGTAAAATAAGTAAGGAGTGTGTCGCTAGTCAATATCTTGTCTCCGTTTTACCCAACTCCGTGACTTTATCCCTCACTATGAGACAAACCTCAACTGCGCGGTTAACCTCTCTCCGGTTTAACCTAACCGCACTTCCGTATCTCACCATGGTTCAAAGTAAATACAGCAAAATAAAACAAAAGTTTTAGAAAACAAAACTAGATCCGCGCTGACAGATTAGACAGTGGACACATGTTACAGTTGCGCAATATTTCTAGTTCGTACGATAAGGTTAGATTTTGGCCTTCAATCACAACCGTGTAAGTGAACAAAGGCACGAGAAATCGAAGGCTGTGATTTTAGCTTAAAAGAATCCAATCAAAAGGTGCCGACACATGAGAAAAGAAACAAAACAACTCGTGAAATGAATGTCATATCAGTAAAGGAGAGAAACGAAAAGATAAAGAAGAGAATAGTGGTGCCAATGATGCTCTCCAGAATTTCACTACGAAATATAAACTTATAAATCAATAGATTATTTGATGCACTAACTATAATTTGTATGTTTGTTACTTTTCAGGGTACTATTATCAGTTGTACACTCATTTTCAGCGTCTGAAGGTCACATAGTACGTATTATATAAAAAAAAACTTAGTAAAAATATATCAACTAAATATTAACATCAGAAGAAACCACCACATAAAGTTTGAGGGATTAAGAACTCCAGTCCAAAACTTGGGGTATTCTTTTCTATTTATTTTTTATTTGATTGTTGTATTTACTATAAAATGTGCTCAAAGTTTATTAGTCATATATATATATATGTGAAATTTGGAGTCCTACCAAAGGAAGATCCACTAATTGGCGATATACCAAAACTCTAAAAAAGTGTAACTGTTGATAATGTATATTTACACTGCTATCCCTTCAAGCTCAACCTCTCTCATGACCGTAAATTGTTAAATTGACCATATCTTACCTAGACAAAATCTTGCTAAAGATTTGAATTTATCTTATTAATGTACGCATATCTTCTTCTAAGATCATATTATTATCAATTCTACATATTTGTATTTTTTTTTTTCAAACTCTTTCATAGATAGACATTTAAACTCTCTATCAAGTTCTACTCTTTATAAAATCTTGGTAACTGAAGCTTCTATGTGTTTTGTTTTTTTCATGGACACACTTTATAAGTTTCAAAAGATTGTTCATAAGTAAGCTTTCACCACACACATAAGCAAAATCAGTGAATCCCACAACAACTTTCGGGAGAGAGCCAAACCAGATTTTGAATATGCATAAAGAAGAGATGAAGATGATGATGGGTCATCCAGTGGTGACATGAATGATTTTCAGGAGTTTGAGCCGAGGAACCTGCAACGTCTCTGTTTGGGTGGATAATTAAATTTATTACCAGTTCGTAAAACTATTAACCGTAAATTTTATTTAATGGGTAGTCAGCAAAATTATAATACTATAACATTGAACTCCGGATAACTAAAAATTGGGTTTCTCATTACCATTAACAAGTTATTAAACAAGTTACACATCTAACTACAAAATTAGCAAGCAATCTTATATCATAGACTGTTAGAGTAGGGGTTTCAGTTTATGGTTAAACCTATCGAGCATAGGGATATAATAATTTATAGCTAATATATTAGTTAGTTGTTCATTAAATGCGCTAGCCATTCAAAAAATGTGGTAACCATCCACGAGGAAAACTGGACATCTAATAATTTATTTATACAATTTAGATTAGCCGGTTACAAAACATCAAATACGTATACTTATTAGATTAACCGGTTAAGATACATCTGATACGGTAACTTATTAGATTAGTCGGTTATTTTTGTAAATATTCGACATCTAATTATTGTTGACGGATCCTATTGCTTGGACCATGTCATTAACCCATGCTTGTATTCTAAATTGTATAACTATATATTTGGTAAATTACAGATATTTATTTTAATTAGTTAGCTAAAGAATGACAACCATAACCAATTTTTCCAAAGGATTTGATATTGAATTATGTTTCTGTTAGTAAATATGTGACCATATAATGAATTTTACATGTTACTAACTATTAATCCTTCTCGAGAAAACAAAAAAAATCTAGAACATATCTTTGCAAATCTTTTTATATCCACTTTGCAAATCTTCAGAAGATATCAATCTTGTGTCAGAGGCGACACTGTAACATCCAAGACGGGAATGAGAGTTTTCATCTGGACAGGGCATTATCGTCATTCACATCGCAGCGTAGCTTCCACTTTCTTTCTTTTTGGTATTCTACTAATTTATACTTCTTTCTTTGTTTTCCACCCAATTAACTCTATATATATTCTGTTATCAAATTGAAATCGATGTCAAAAAAAAAAAAATAATAAAAAAAAAAAAATAAATGAAATCGATGTCTTTAGCCAAAATATAATATTGATTAAAATATGAATGCCTTATCTTAAGCTTTTGATAGTCTAAATATTAAATAGTATTAGTCTAAAATTTCATATACTAGCTAAAAAGTTTAAAAATCATCATATTTTAGGGGAGGGGTGGAATGAAAATTCCAAGTTGTCAATAAGCCTAATCTAAATGGGCGAAATCAACACACGGAAAACTGACCCGAACTTTTTTTTTTGAACATCACTGGCCCAACTTTTTATTGAACTTCATGATCGAAATGATTGACGTTCGACTACGGCGTGCATGGCTACTACGACTTGGATTGGAGAATTGTTCTCTTTTATTAAACTTTAGCTGAACTTTGTTATGTATGTTAATTTATCTCGATTTGGGTAAGAAGAGAAGATTAAAAGAAAATGGGGATGAGGACCATGAAGTTGTGGTTGTGGACTGCGGACCTAGGATATTATTTAGACGGAGGCACAATTTTTGTTTCGTTATGTTGCTATAGTGCTAGAAGAACATTACATGAATTAATATTGATTACTTGAGAAAAATGAAAAAGAGATGGGGGCACTTGCCCCCGTTCCTCCTCACCTATGTCCGCCACTAGTTGTGGTATGGAAAAATTTCATTACTGACTTAATACCTGATTTTACAAAATTATATCACAAAAATCAGTTTGCTTATTACCCATGTTACTTCATCGACAACAACGATAATAAAGAAGCTCGTATAGTCTCAAATGCAGACTACTATGCTCACATGGGTGGGTCATGGGCAGGCCCGGCCCTCATATGAAGCAATAAAAGCAAAGACTTCCGGTCTCCAAGAATATCTATTAATTTCGGCCGTTAATTTGCAAAAAATCCTTTAGTTTAGTAGCTTAAATTCTTGTGTTTGTTTGGTAACAACCCAAGTTCGAGGTAGGTTTGTTAATAGAGGCCTTTTTTTTATAAACTAGCTTCTGGTCTTCAATAAACCAAGATCGCTATTGGTCATGGGTGAAAAGTGAACTCAGAAGACAAAAGTTTAATGCTTTAGAGCATTAGATCATGATTATCCGAGGATTTCTTAGGATGGTTTTTAGAAGAATATAAAAAATTGTTTCTTATATTTCTCTAGGAAATACGCCCTAAAAAACTTCCGAATAATCATGTTCTTAGACCGTAA